TCCTGTTGACTTTGTTCTTCAATGTGGGATCAATTTTGTAACTGATGCAGTCAAATGATCATTAATTATTCCTTTTTTTTCTTACATACATTTAATAAATGCTCCTGCAAGTTAAAGGCAAGTGTGCAACAACATTCAACTCTTTAGCACCATCTAGTTCAGAGTAAGTGCTGCAGCTATGGTAGCACACGAGCCCACGCACATCAAAAGGCCTTCCTTGGTCCCTCAGCAAAAAGAAAAGAAAAAAAAAAAAAAAAAGAAAATGCTACTGAACCCGTAATTATGGGTTGAATGTGAGATTTCCACCAGCAGCAAAAGTGTTGGCAAAAGGGATCTCATGTTTTGTGTTTTAGTTTTTCTGTTCGTGAGCAAATTTGATAAATGATAATGATAAATAAATGATGAATGACCCGCACTTGTATAGCACCTTTCAGAGTCGGAGGACTCGAAAGCGCTTTACAGTACAGGTAACCATTCACACGCTGATGGTGATGAGCTACATTGTAGCCACAGCTGCCCTGGTGTACGCTGATGCTTCTGAGCACAGGCACCACCGGTCCTTGCAACCACCGCTAGCAGACAAGGGGCTATGTGTCTTGCCAAAGGACACAACAGCACCATTCTCTGGCAGAGCCGGGATCAAACCTGCAACCTTACAATTACTGGACTGTACCTCCTGAGCTACGCTGCCCTTACTCACACACTCACAGATCCCAGAATCAAAGTTTTCACAATGTAACTGATGGTCTAAAAAAATGTAGTTTAATTATTTTAGCATACTCCACTTTACTGGGGCTAATAGCAAAATTTTAAACTGGTGTGTAGTAGGGCTGCTCAATAATGACAAAAATTATTAGCACAATTATTTAGACTGAAACTGAGACCTTGATTAATTAATGTTGATTTTATTTATTTATTTATTTGTTTGTTTATTTATTTATCTGGTCATAAAATTGCTCAGGGCACAATCAGGACAAAAATAAAGAGGAAAAAGAAAGAAATAAGATAATTTCCAAAACAACTCCTGATTCCTAGTATAAAAAGGCCAATACACCTGATGATAGTTTATGATAGGGCTGAACGATTCTGGAAAGTAATCTAACAGCGATTTGATTCACAATGTTTTTTTAAGGGACTTTTCTCATATTTTTCAACTAACCGAAGCAAAAAAAAAAAATCTATGTAACTTGTAATGAATATAAACATGTTTATGTATCTACACATTTATCTACATATCATATCAACATGTTTATTTGTCTACATAAACATAAACACTCACAAATAAAGACAAAATTTTGTATTCGAAGGTGCAATCCTTTGCAGCCAGGAGCACATCCCTTGAAGGAGCACAGGTACTAGCAACACCTGTGACATTTTATTTGCAGGAAAGAAGTGTGTCCCATTTATTGAAGTCTTTTGTGTTTACAGTTTTTGACGTCTTGTCCATGCAGAGCTTCCGTAGTTCAGTTACATCCATAGCTGCTAGCCAAAACTCAGTCGAGTTAAAGTATCTTACGGTTTTCTAGCTTTGCTAAAATATCTGCCTGTACTTATTTGATTAATGGCAGTTTTAACATTTTATTAGACTCCAAATGTAATCATTTGGCACGTTTCTACTTCGTAATTTGTAAGAATGTAATCAGCATTATTAGCATTAGCATCCCTATGGGTTTGTTCATTAATTTTTCCCATCGTTGCAATGGCATTACCGTTACTGGACATGTAAAGTGGCGCGTTGCTCCACTGCTACAGTATATTGTGGTTGAATGAAGCACATTGGCTGTCAGGCTGTCTGACACCCAACCAGCGTGTCTCAAGTGGCTCTTAAAAGGAACCCAGGTTACAAAACGTTGTGGTTCTTAAAAGATAAACGTTAGTATCAGTTATATTAAAGGGGTGTAAAAAGCCTTCTTAATGCCTTCATTTTAATAAAATTGGTAAAAAATATTTCAACTCGCAGGTCGCCAATGTTGTTAGCATTGCAATGCACTCTGGGTAGTGACATCATGGTTGTACCTCTGTTGCACCGGCCGGCTTTGGGACCCTGTTGTGACTGTTCAGCGACATCAACATGTCATCTGTTTAGCCTTTTCAGTTTGAACCAGAGTGAAACTTTAATTAGGACATCGATGATGTTTCACAAAACGAGCATCAAAATGAAGAGCAAGAAGGGCGGGATGAAGCGAGAACAGGACAAAACCTGTGGTGTGTGTTGCGGGAAATGTGTCTCCATGGTACCCGAGAGGGAGAGTATTTGTTGTCAAGAGCTCACAGTTTTGTCAGCAGACGTTAACGGTAAGCTATTGTGTGATCAAATGTATTCAGTTACCAATGGTTTTGGAGAATATTAGCATCCAGAGCTGTCATGTGCTTCATAGATTATTAGGATATTCAGTGAAACGACTTTAATCATTTAACTTACTGCATGTTTTACTGACGGGAGAGGTGAATATTCAGCTTCATCCATGACGAGTGGCGTGTCCGATGGTTCGCCCAACATGACAGAAGCGGCAGCTGCAGGAGTGTGTTGTCGGCTCAGGAGAGCGTCCAGCGTCTCTTGTCTCTCCGAGGGCGTTTAGGCTCCTTGTGTGGGAAAATGGTCGGTAAAGCATTTAGTTTCCGCCATCTCTTATACCCAGCCGCTCTGGTGAGCTCTTTAAGTAGTTGTGGTCGACTATAAGCCTCAAACGCATCAGGAGAAAAAAGTTGGGAACACAGCCGCGGATCTTTGGGAAGTTGTGTCCGTCCACAGGCATCTTCCCACTGCTTTCTCCTCTCCTTTGCCAGTGGGAAAGCTGTGAAAACTCACATCACTCCCCTTGTTGCCCTCTGACTGGAAATTACATCCAAAAGACACACAATGAGGCATTTTACTTAAACTTTTAGGCGCCATAGTTTTTTCAGTAAAATGTGAATTTTTTATATCACTATTTAAAGAGCTTGTAGCTTAAATCTGGTTAGAGATAGAGGAATATTGTAAATTAGAAAAATCTTGAGGACGAGCCAAATTTTGTGAAAAGAATAAATTCACTCACATAATTTGCATATTATGATGTCATCAGGTGGCAGCCATATTGGATTGCATCACATTTGCAGATTTTTTTTAAATATTTTTGTCTTATTTTCTTATTGTTGTTATTGTTTATGATACATATATACATATTCCAATGTAGACATATATAACTATGTATGTATATATATAATATTTATTACTTTATTGGTATTTTGCTATGTTTACAGTGTAGCAATCAAGAACATTGTTTTTGGTGCTTCAGTGTCATGAACACATTTCACTCATCCCTTCTTTGTTTTATTTTCTTTATAATATATATATTTAATCCTCAATCTCAGGCTTTTCCACAAGCCCCATGCAGAACTGAATGGCAATGAACGCTTTCATTTCTGGGACAGTTACATCGTACCAGTCATTATATCTGGAGATAGATTTCAGTTCCTCCCTCTCTAAATAGTTTCAGTTGTGATGAGGGTCCAGAATTCCTCATCCAAAAAAACTGACAGAAAATCAATGTGTTCTGAATTTGGCAGATCCCTGTCTCCACAGTATCCAACTGGCTCATCAACATGCCTGATCCACTTGGAATACTGTTCCTCTTCTCCCAAACTAACCCAGCCATCATCATTATTATTGTAACTGAGGTTGTGTTGGGCCACCCACCTGCTAGCGGTGATTTTTTTTTTCCCCCGCGGTTCCTCCCCCTCCAGCTCCATTTCCCGCGGTTTACACCCCCGGGGCTGAATCGATCACCAGCGGAGTTTTCACCAGCCCGATCACCGCCACCACATCCCTCCTCCCCCCTGGCACGGTGGAGCAAAGGATCAGACACGGTGAGGCGGAACATCGGACAAGATAAGGGCTGGATGGGCTGCTTGTGTAACCGCGTCGTCAGACTCCCTGTCGCTGCGCGCTGAAGCCACGCTGTCCATCTGGCTAGAAGACCGCAGATCATCCTCAGAAAGGAAATATTCTTCCTCCAAATCTGAATCTGCAGTTACTACACAAGAGCTTCGTCAGCACTGAACATTCCTCTCGGCATTGTGTTTTTTTTTCTTTACCACTAGCTCGCTCTCACTCATCTAACTGCTCTGACAAGCCCCGCGGCTCTGCGACTGGTGGGCGGGGTTCAAGTTCTAAATACTCCATAAATTTGAATAGTAACACATCCACAAATGCTGCTTGGATTGAAGTTACAGGTGTCTGCCACCCCGCTGTGTAACGTATTAACTGCATGAGGGCTAATTTCTGCTGTAGTGGCTTATCAAATCCAACATTGCTGCTTGTCGCAATTCTGGGACTTTGGCACTTAAAGGGTTAATTTTTAATACGGTGCGCAGGTAAACAAACACTAGCATCAACAGCTATTCTTCCTAGCGCATCCAATACACGTCATCGCCCCCAGAGGGCATTGCGTGCAGAAAACATGGCGTCCTACGTATGTCAAAATGTACTAAATATTATAGATGTATAAATAAACAGCAATTATTTGAATGTTTCTAACAACATAGTTTGGTACAACAGAAAACGTGTGGCTTATTAGGGCATACACATCCTCATAGCCAGAGTTCCTTTTAAGTGGCCGTTGCCCGTGAGTGCAGCATATTTCAAGATGAGGCATGACTATGGAGCATCAACCACATATATTAATTTAAAACTGTACATTTTCAAGCTAAGAGGGCGATTTCGAATAGATGTTGGAGAAAAATATTACACACTGTACCTTTAATATTTGGATTATGTGTACATTTGGAAACTTCGGAATAAATTGTAGAACAAGAATTGAACAGTCTGGCTGCTCCTGTTCACACTTTGGATGATTTACTCAAACAGCCATGTTTCTCTCTCATGCTTCTTTGTGTCGCAAATGAAGATGTTTGGTTGTTCTTCGTAAGGAAGGCGCAGCTGACAGGGGTCCCTGAAGGCAGCATGATGATGTTTTCTCTGAGCTTTCTGCTGAACAGTTAATGTCTCTGCTGGCCGTCCCTTCCCTTCCCCTCTCCTCCCACGCAGCCAGCCTTAACGTTTCTGCTCAGACAGAGCACACGCTCCCCCAGTATCTATCCGCCTCAGGTAAGAGATGGCTCGAAGTTCAACTTTCCCCGAAATAGTGGAGCTCAACGTGGGCGGTCAGGTGTACGTGACCCGCCTCGAAACTCTCACCGCGGCGCCCAACTCGCTTCTGTGGTCGAAGTTCACCCAGAGCTCCCCGGCCGACCTGCCCACCGACAGCAAGGGCCGCTTCTTCTTCGACAGGGACGGCTTTCTGTTCCGCTACATCCTGGACTATTTACGGGACTCGGAGCTTTCTCTGCCGGAGTTTTTTAAGGAGAGGAAGCGGCTGCAGAAGGAGGCGGACTTCTTCCAGCTCCCGGAGCTGTCGAGGCGCCTGGCGGCAGTCAGTAAGGACAGCTCCTCCACGGACGACAGCGGGGAGCAGGAGGAGGCAGAGCTCACCAGCCCGGTCACCACCTCCTCCTCCTGCTCGGACAGAGCTCTGCGCTCCCCTGGGGCCAGCTCCGGCTACATCACCGTCGGGTACCGGGGCAGCTACACCATCGGCAGAGACATCCAGGCCGACGCCAAGTTCCGGAGGGTGGCCCGAATCACCGTCTGCGGGAAAATCTCACTGACTAAAGAAGTCTTTGGGGAAACTTTGAACGAGAGCCGCGACCCCGACCGCCCGCCCGACAAATACACCTCCAGGTATTACCTGAAGTACAACTTTCTGGAGCAGGCGTTCGACCGGCTGGCGGAGGCTGGCTTCCACATGGTGGCTTGTAACTCCACTGGGACCTGCTCTTATGGCAGCAGCGACCCCGGGGAGGACAAACTCTGGACCAGCTACACCGAGTACGTCTTCTCTCGATGAACTAAAGGGAGAACCATCCATCCTCAAGAACACCTCTCATCAAACAACACTGGGATAAAAAAATACTTTAGAAAACAACTCAGACTTAGTTGTGTCTACTGTACCACAATCCGTGCTGTCGTTGAGGTTTAATGTTTTTATTTTTGCCAAACTCCAACTTAAATCTCAAATGACTTTTTAGATAATGTCACCAAGTTATTTTTATACCCCACTGGCCTCATAACCTTTACAGCTTTCAGGGGGATGGGTTTCGTCCTTAAGGAGGAGGAAAATGTTAGATACAAAAAGAATGTGCACTGTAAACATTCAGGCTCTAAAATGTGTGTTAACAGCAACTCGATCCTGTAGCTGTGATGGTAAAACTTTTATGATTTACACTTAGCTCAGCAGATAACACTTTGTTTATTGTGCATTTGGAAGTGCTGTGAATGCTCTTATTTGATATAAAAAATAAAAGTGTGGTGATGTAACGCTAGCCATCCTTTTAGGATATGTTTTTATTTTTTACAGGTTTAATTGTTTTACTTGAATATTTTCAAATCTAGCTCAGATTGAGCGATGATAGGCAAGGCCACGATGCTAGATTTTACTACTTGATGAGGATTTGATCTGATTTTTGTCAAAGTGAAAAGTCTCTGTTGTCACTTTAAGTTTGATGTTTACACATAGCAACTTTCAAAGGTCATCAAGTCTAGAAAAAAGGAATCGTCACCTCGTCTTACGTTTTTGTGATTGCTGTGAAACGTCATCGGTCCAAGTCCAAACTGCTCGAATGCAAATTTATTTCTGTTTAAAAGCGGTTTTCAGAATCTTCTAAATTTTGCACACGATTTAAACCAAACGCCAACATTTCCGGTTCAGCACAAGATAAATAGTTAAACTTGCAAACTGCAGCCAAAAAACAGAAATTGGAGGCAGTTTTGCAAGAGCAAAGTGACACACAGGAGGCTCGTTATCTCCCCTGGGCAAGATGGGGGGGCTTTTTCTATGGCTGACAAGTACAGCAATCGAATGTCGGTTCCCTTTTGGGATCCGGGTGCACCAATCCCAGCTGTCCCAGCATCAAGTCTAATACAGAAAGGCTTTGTGTGGGTTGTGTCAGAGCGTTGAAAACCAAGTTGGAAAGGATATTTTGCTAAGTGAGTCATTTGCAGTTAATAAATGTCCAAGGGTGTTGGTTATGTTCCCTGAATCTCTCTCTCACACACACACACATACACACACACACACACACACTTCTTCTCTGAGGGAGCTTCAAAGATTGACATATCAAAACAAGAGACTTTGTATCTGCCATCAGCTGATGCTGCCATCTGGACAGGAAAGGGAAGAAGCAACCACAACTCTTCCCCTAACGTCGTCCCCAGAAACAGGATACACAAGCAAGCTGTCCTTCACCAAAACGGATAAAACGAAAGTCAGCATAATAAGAAACACAATCGAACTTTGAACAAAAATAAAACTTTTAAAAGCCCTAAAAATCAAGGATGATCCTCTTCTGTTTAAAAACATACTTTCATAGAAATGACTTCCTACATTCTGCCAGAGCAATGTTACCATTTTCTGCCAAGCTCCTTTTTGCTAATATTGTCTTGCATGTGAGGAAGATTTGTGTCGCTGGTGATAAAATGCCTCCCAAACACATTTGTTCCTCTCGCTCTCTCTCACAGCAAGCTCTTATCAACAAATGCTGAAAATGTGCACACACACTTACACACTTCTGAACGCACAAAGCGCAGACGGCAGACAGACGAAGGGAGCCAAATTACAGAGCTGGCGATAACGCCGGCCTGCTGGCTCTCTCAGTCGTGCTAAGTCCTTCACGCTTTTCTACAGTCTTCCTCTGCAGCTCACTGTGACCTGCATGTCTTGTTTGTTTTTTATTTATTCTTATGAAATCAGCTCTGGATCCCTTGGTACAAATATATCAAACTCACACTGAGAGTCACACTTGAATAAATAATTCAAGCTTTGTTTCTTTTAGTTTAGATTAGGTGGGAAAACTGAACACAACACATTTTCTTTTGTGAAGGTTAATAATGATCTGTTAATTTTTCACTTAACGTAAAACTGTCTCATCTCAGCCGAATCGTTGTCAATAAAATGTATTTAAGTTTGTCTAATAGGCTTATAATAAACCATCAGCTAAATCTTATTATTGGACTTTTCATGTTTTTTCTTCATTTGAAATTATTCAATTAATAACAAAACAACTCAAAACTTTAAAATATAGAACCTAGTAAAGTTATTTATAATCAAAATAAAGGGTGAGCACAATCTCAGAATTCTGCAACAGATTTAACAATGAAGATTGTTTCTTTTATTTTTAAAGGCAAACCAGATTTTTAGATTTTAAAGGTGTGGGAAACTCATTAAATTAATACATTTGCAGGGATCTCTGCCTGGCAAGCTGAACTCGGGGCAATAAAATACCAGAATTGCTTGGATCAGCAGGGACAAGTCTGCTGCCACTGCCCCCTACTGTCGTCTGTGAAGGGGACATGGAGTAAGTGTGCAGTAAGGCTTCGACTACGTAGTTCACAAGTGTGCAAATGATTGCCAAATTGGGACAGGGAGCATTGCGGGTCGCCATTTGTGCTACTTTTTTTTAAAATGATTTAATAACTTTCAAACAAACATTTGACAAAATTTACAATTCATTGCTGTTCACATTAAATTGTAATCATCTTGATGAACTCCTTTAATTTGAAAATACATATTTTCCAGGTTTTGCTGGAGCGGTTCGCAGCCGAGTGTGAAGCAGCTGGGACTAGAATCAGCTCTTCTAAATCTGAGACCCTGGTCATAAGTCGGGAAAAGGGTAGAATGCCTTCTTCCGGGTCAAGGATGAGGTCCTGCCCCAAGTGGAGTGTGTTGTACCGGTCTGTCATGGTGAATAGATAGCTGAGACAGAAGGTGAAGCTCTCGATTTACTGGTCGATCTACGTTCCTACCCTCACCTATGGCCATGAGTTTTCTTTGCAGGGTGGCTGGGCTCTCCCTTAGAGATAGGGTGAGAAGCTTGGTCATCCAGGAGGGGCTTGGAGTAGACCTGCTGCTCCTCCACATCGAGAGGAGCCAGTTGAGGTGGCTCAGTTATCTAATTTAGATACTTCCTGGACACCTCACTGGTGAGGTTTTCTGATCACATCCAACCAAGAGGAGACCTAAAGGAAGACTCAGGACATGCTGAAGGGACTATGTCTCTCGGCTGGCCAGAGAACGCCTTGGGGTTCCCCCGGAAGAGCTGGCCCAAGTGGCTGGGGAGAAGGAAATCTGGGCATCTCGACTCAGGCTGCTGCCCCGCGACCGGAGTCCAGATAAGCAGATGAAAATGGATGGATGAATACATATTTTCAGAAATAGTACTCGAGCCTTTGCTCCGTCTTCTTCTCAAAATTCCCACGCAGCAATGGATTGTGGGTAATACCCTTCACTAAGTTTGCATAGAGTACGCAAAAGGGACATGGTCAACTTCCACAATTGAGAACCGTGACGCCCTATGCTCTTGCAACCCTGGACTAGAATGCGCAGTTGAAGGGTGCAAGACTGGAAGTGCAACCTTTAGGACTGGGCCGCAGGGTGGCAGCAGACTGCAGGATTTGGGTTCTTATTTCAAGATATTTGAAAATCTCGCCTCAGACTGGCTAACAGCAGCACGACTCTGTCACAATTTGATTTGCAGCGTTGATGTTTTATCTCCACAAATGACACAAGCTTGGAGTAGTTATTCTGTTTGATGAGTTGCTAATGTTAACGGTTAGCTTCAACTAGTCGAGACGTTCTCTGCTGTTTCCTGGACGCTAAAATAACAACAGCCTTCCTCGTCGTGAGTCAAGATGAGTGAGTGTTAAGTGACAGTGTGACATAGATCTGCCGGCTTTTCAAATCCTAGAGTTTCACCGTCTATTTTCTATCAGAAGCGAATGCAGGAGATCGGTGTAGGAGACTATCTTCATGTTCAGTCTGCATGAAAACCCCAGTGTTTTTTAATAATAATACATGTTTTTTCAGAGTTACACACCTTTAAAATGTATTTTCTCAGCTGAATCTTTGACAAAACATATTTTATCAGATCTACAATTGTCTAATAGGCTTATAATAAACCCTCAGCTAAAGTTTAATATTGTACTTTTTTCCATTTCTTTGAAAATATTCAATAGAAAAAATGAAAAGTTTACTTAAATATAGAACATGGTAAGGTAAAATTCGGCAACAGACTTAAAGATGAAGACAGTTTTATTTATTTTCAAAGGAAAATCAGTTTATTTAGTTTTTAAAGTCATTTTCTACAACTCTGAGACAGCATTGATCAAACAGCCACTTCACTTTGGACAAACAAGCCAGAACAGGCTCTGTTAGCTAAAGGATTATATTTGATTCGTGTTTGAGAGATGTTAATCTGTCGGGATTAAAAATGCAGCAAAAAAGCAGCGGAAAGGTATTTTTTGCTCCTCTGCCTCATTTATTTTAATTTAATAAAAAAATGACCATATATTAAAAGATAAATACTGCTAAAGTATTAATGAATAAAAAAAATACACGATTCATACTAGAATGTCACAAGTTTGAATCAGATTGTAAACAGGCTGCTACCCTTGGATCTGCTGGGGAAGTTTTGAACTGAGAACGCTTTTATTCTGAAAATAAAAGTGAGCAGACTAAGAACCAATTAGGTTCTAGATTGAAATCTGTTCCCTCTTGATATATGCTGATTTGATTTATGATTTTGTCGGATTACATTAAACTTTTATAAAAACGTGACCCCTCACATGTCCTTTCAGAAGCATCTGATCTGAGCTGGTGACATCAGTTAATGATGCGTGTGATGGGACCATCAACCTAATATACACTGCTGCTTGATGAAACATCCTACCAAATGATGCATTTAGATGCATCAGGAAAGACATGGAAAAGGGAGGTTTGGTATGGAGGAACTTGAATCACCTGCAAAGTGGAACCTTGTGTTATGGACCGTACCAAAACCAGGCCTTTAAAGCGTCGTCTGTTATGAGGCTGATAAAATACTCTACTTATGGTTTCAGGAAATGCTTTTTTTATGCTTTCTTACAAAAGCATTGCACCAACTTAGGTTTCTGTTATGAAAGCACCACTTTAGCCACATGGGAAGTCAGCCAGCTATGTGAACGTTTTTAATCGTGCACATGCCGTTACTTTACTGTCCCTCCCACTGAGGCACCAGGAGCAGAAAGCAAACACAATGAAGCTCTGTTTTTCAACTTGCAAACACAGCTGTCTCAGATAACTGGAGACTTTCTTATCTGGCCGTTTAATGATTTAGGGTTAGCTGTATACTAGTGATGCAATTGGTAGCACTGCTGCTGCCTCACAGCAAAAAGGTTGTAGGTTCTAATTCCAGCTGCAACCTTTGTGTGAGTTAGTCGAAAATCCTCCACATGCATGTGTGTTTTCACTGGGTGCTCCAATTTCCTCCCACAAGCCAAAAACAGGCACGTTAGATAACTTCAAGTCCCTTTGGATAAAAAGTGTTGGCAAAACGAAGACTCATATAAACTTTGGAATTAGTGATAAAAGTTCTTCAAAGGCCTACGTGCTTCTGGAGCTTCTCCTCAGCACTTCAATCTCCCCATCCAGCCTGGTTTTAGAGTAAACACTTCACTGTTTGAGTATAGGATGACAAGTATTTAGCCATCAAACGCTAATGTAAACATTCTGTAACAGACAGCGTTTGGCCTCCACTTGAACAGAGATTTAACTGTTTTTGTAGCAGTAAAACCATTCAAAGCCCAAACCATTCTTAACTCATGAACACTACTTAATTTGTTTTTCCACTCATGAATTCATCTTCTCATATATATATATATATATATATATATATATATATATATATATATATATATATATATATATATATATATGTGTGTCATTACCGTATAAATTACACTATATTGAACTTTGCTCCTAAATGCACTGAAACCTTCACACAAAAACAAACATCCATTCATAAATCTTCCCCTGAAGTAACAATCCATCATTCTGCAGCCTCAATGTGCTCTTGAAATACAGCTCTCTATTCCATAGCTGTTCATTTTGTTATCTGTGATGATCAGTCACATCATTCAGTTTCAAAATTGGACACTTCTCTCACTGCCAAAATGGATTGCCAATATTTTCACATTGTGTTTGCAGGAATGATTGATCAGCTGTGTGTTTAACGTGTGTTTAAATAGGGTTCAATAAATGTTCAAGAGGTAGAATACAATGACAAGTTGGAGGCAAACCTTTAATAATAATAATACATTTTATTTAAAAGCGCCTTTCAGAACACCCAAGGTCACTTGACAGAAAACACTTAATAAAATACAATAAAACAACAATAAAACCCAAACAAGAAAAAACAAAGAGAGAAACAGTTCAATACAATCAGAGGTCGTAGGCAGATTTAAACATACAGTATGTGTTTTGAGTTTTGTTTTGAAAAGGGTAAAACTGTCGATGATCCTGATGTCTGGGGGAAGTGAGTTCCAGAGACGAGGAGCAGAGCGGCTGAAAGCTCTGCTCCCCATGGTAGCGAGACGGGCAGAAGGAACCGCAAGATGGATGGAAGAAGAAGATCTGAGAGAACGGGAGGGGGTGTGAAGACTTATAAGGTCTGAGATATATGAAGGAGAGAGGTTATGGATTGCTTTGAAGGTATGGAGGAGAATTTTGAAGATGGACCTGAATTTAACTGGGAGCCAGTGAAGCGTTGGAGAACCGGGGTGATGTGGTGAAAGGAAGGGGTTCAATTCCCATTGCAAGCCTGAATAAAACTTTTGTTTGACACACTTAGCTCCAAAAAAGCCACTGTGTAAAGACCCAGTTCGAACATCCTACAGACATGGTCTGGACCTACAGACTCAATATAGACATGATCTGCACGCCCGTGCTACATCGGCTGTTTGCAGGGAAGGCTCTGCAACACATTAGCCTTTCAGAATATTGGAACTAGCCGAGTTAAACAGCAGCTGCTGACATGCACATAAAACTGCCAAGAGGTGTTTAAATTCCTCTCTGTAGATTCATCCTCACCGTTTTGACTGGTGCATGGAACACGCTCTTTTGAACCACTTGAAAGCTGCGTGTCATGGTAACATCCAGCAGCAGGACAATAACCAGGTGTAGACCGTCAAC